TCCATATACAATTATGTAACACTGCATTAAAATTAGGGAAAATTACACTTTGCCTACCGAACTATCCGCGTTTTTACACTTTGCTCACTCAACTTTTTCCGGTGACACTTTACCCCTTGAACTTTAAATATTTTCGCACTTAGCGACTTCCGGCCACCGGAGATGCAAAATCAAGGGCAAAGTGTAAAAACGCGAATAGTTCGGTAGACAAAGTGTACTCGTGAAGACTGGTTTGAGGTGTCTCCTAAGGTATAAAAGACGATTTTTCCCTTGATTTTTCATCTCCGGTGGCCGGAAGTGGTTAAGTTCAAAGGGTAAAGTGTCACCGAAAAAAGTTAAGTGGGTAAAATGTAAAAACGCGGATAGCTCGATAGCCAAAGTGTAATTTTCCCTTAAAATTATATCTCCAATTATTGATATGACTTTGAAAAATTATATGAAAACATTATTGGTGTACAACTCTTCTTTTTGGGCCGCATACTCTTCTTTTTTTTTTGGCCGCATACATTATAATATGTTTGGGATTATATGCACATCACATCTAGCCTTATTGTTTATTTTCTTTAGTCGCCTATATGTCTTGTTTGGAAAGTAGATTTTTGAGTTCAAATTGCATGTTTGATAATGTAGAGACGGGCTAGCCCTAGCCCTAGTCCTAGTCCAGTAGACTTTGGGCTAAACGGTCTGGACCTAAAAAATTCGGATTTAAACAGACTATCAATAAAGATTTCTAACTTTTTTTTTTTGGGCTAAACAGGTCGGTCCGTTGTAGAGATGTGAATGGGTTGGGTCGGGTACGAGTTTTGGCAAACCCGAACCTGACCCGCATATAATTTACCCTACCCAAACCCAACTCGTTACCATGTTTGTGATCTTCGAGTTCGAGTTGGGTTTTACCCGCCGGGTTAGTGAGTTTTCGTCGGGCACACGAATAACCCAAGTCTTAAATTTACGTTTTACCCGACCCATCTCATTTCATATGAAAAATTAAAATAATAATTTTACAATTAATTATAATGTAACAAATAATTTATTAACTAAGTTTAAAAATAAAAAACTATGAAAAAAATATATTATTTTTGGAATAAATAATGAGATATAATTTCTTTTATCATTTATAGTCTATTAATAATATAACATTTAAAAAATTGTACATTTAACAAAAAATGAGAGTAAAATCATAAAAATAAAATAAAATTCAACCATTAATAAAAAATATAATAGATAATATAATTTTTTAAAATAACACACATGACTACTTTTATATCTATAATAAGTTAAAAATATATAATATGTATATATATATACTATTTTTATATTCTATTCACAATAAATTTTAAATGCATGAAAAAGAAAACACTACAAGACCAAAATAACTTAAATTAAGATTACATAAGAAAATAATAGCACAATTACAAAAAAATATTTTTTTTAGTTGTTGGCAAAATGAGTCAAATATGCTCAACTAAAATGGTAAATTCGGCGGAGTTTGTGAATTTTGAAAGAATGAAATTTCATGTGGATTGATAGAATTAGAATTTGAGA